TTAAGAAATCTATGATACAATGCTGCAAATATGATAAAATAATTTATATGGACAGACGAATACAAGAGACTTCTATGGAAAAAAGCCTTATTCAAATGGAGATCTTTGTAAATTCCTTTACCACATCGATGTTTAAATTATAATTTCATAAGTAACTTGATTGTTTCACAAGATTTATTCCGAATATAATTAGCTAACATGTTTTCCACCTTGCTCATGATTCATATTAATCAAATTAATTTCTTGGTCTACAGACAACGAATAATAGAAGTATTTATTGTTGCTCGATGCGAGTATAAAATATTAGCTAGTCGTTCTCGTTTACAAAGTAACTTGATATTAATTGTACAGTTTCGTGCTGCCAATTTTTAGCGAAGGGTAATGTGCTGAACAGTTTTATCAGATAAAGCAGATTATTCCATCATACTCAAAGCAAGCAAACCAGATGACACTGTAATTTTGAGACGATTCATGGCATAAGTCTGAATGAACTAGGATGGTCTCAACCGATATCCAAAAATCCGCATGAAAGAGCCTAAACCTAATGAAATTAGCGCTGGCTTTCAAATCGACAAGAACAGATACTACACTTAGATCTTCGCTGAAAAAGTCGAGCAGCGACGGCTATTTTTTTTTTGCTATAAGAAATCTTCATTATGAGATTGTCATTTTGCATTTAAAAAAAGTAACAATGAAAATAAAATTAACAATAACACAAGATGATTTTATAATAGTGAATGTAGCCATTTGGTATCATGTAGATCGCTATTCAAAAAAATTGATTTATCTCAGCCATTGTTCAACTATCTTACATCGAACAAAATTTATCTCTAGAGTTTTTATAAAAATGGTGAGAACCTTGAGATAGTAATCTGAATTACACCAGTTAGGGGGATTCGAATCATTCCAACAGAAGAGAACTTTGAAAACCTCTAGTATTTCTCGAGTAGGTTTTCAAGTATTGTTCCTCAGACAAGAAAATATTCGTCTCATTTTTCTCTATCTTCTCATGTGAAACGAGGCAAATATGAACTAATTTGGCCGATTATCAATCGAAATAATGAAACATAAACAAAAAAGAACATGTTTTTTTCCAGTCATCCTTCCTATCTTTGGATGAATATTTCATTTTTGTGAAAAGTCTCACGAAACAAAAATAACTCGATGAAAAATAAACTACCCTCTCTTGATAAAAAAGAGAACTTGAAACCATCTATCAATTCTCTGAAAATAGAAAATTCTGTTGTGTGGATGAGAATAATAATACCAATCGTATAATCATTAATTTATGTGATTCTATAGTATATGTCTCTCTTTCATTAGTACGTAGATTAACGGTACATTCATTTTTTAATGAATTTGGCTTTGACTATCTCAATAAAAGATATAATAATTCTGACTCATATATTCATTATGTTATACGTATTTCTTACATCTTCTCCATAGAAAAGGATATTTGAGCTTATGTGGGACATATTTCTCGATGTCCAAACACTTACGATCAACATGTACTTTTATTTTTTTACACAAAATGAGTTGAATTGATTAGTTTGATGTAAATATAGTTTTATAATAATTGAAGATTACAATATACGAGTAGATTATTTTGTTTTTGATATACTTATAGTATATTTCTCATAGAAAATGAATATTCTGAAACAAGTCAAAACAATTTCAATTCAACATTATACTGACAATCTTTATTATGATGGTATTAAGAATGCTATAGTTTTTTTATTTTACAATAAAGCATGTCCT